GGAGCCTGAAATGCATGAGGTGTATGTACACCAGCGGCGACCGCATGGTGGCAGTGTGCAAGGTGACCAGTGGTCAGCTGCTGCAGGAGCGTCGTTTTCTTCTTTTTCTGTTGTATTCCCCCTAAAATACCTTTTTCAACAAAATAACATGAAAGATTTATAAATTCATTCAAACATTCACGACCGTTCTCTCCGGTGTACATACACCTGAGCGACGGCTTGCTGTCGCCGCCGTTCGCCCAGACCGCTTCTGTCATTCATTTCTTTCTTTTTCAGGGGGTAAATCATAGTTATTATTCATTTATTTTTGTCTATTTTCTTTGGCGTTTCTCTTTTTGTTTTGTTTTCTCTTCTTTTTTTTCGCAGCTTAAGGGGGCGGCTGTCACTGCTCCGCTTCCCTCTGCCAGCCCTTATTAGGTATTTCACCGCAGCACTTGCTGCAGCACTTGCTGCAGCATCTGCTGCAGCAGCTGCTGCAGCATCTGCTGCAGCATTTGCTGCGTATTCCTGCTGGATATAGTTGCGATCATCTGCGTTGGTTGTTGTGTCAGCCTGCGCCTCTCTTCTTGCTGCATTTCTTCTTTTTTTTCTCTTTCTCCTACAACCAAAGATGGGGTGTATAAACTCGAGAAAAAGAGGGGGAAGATGCAGCCCTTTGCTGGCGACGAATAGCGCATGCATCACCACCTCCTTCTCTCATCTGCAGCAGCAGAAGGAGCGTAGCCTTTCACGCGCCGCCGCCGCCGCCGCAGCAGCAGCAGCAGCAGCAGCAGCAGCAGCTGGCGATGCTGCTGCTGCTCCACCAACAACAGCCAAAGCTGCTGGCTCCTCACCCCCCAGCGGCACATGCACAGAAACTCAGCAGGGGCCCCTCGAGTCGCTGGGATCGCCGCCGGAGACGATCCCGTCATTCATGAGTCCTTTGTCTGCAGCAGAGGGTGGAGCTGCTGCTGCTTCACCTGCTGCAGATGCTGCAGCAGCAATTGCTGCAGCAGCAGCAGCAGCTGCTGCTGCTGCTGCAGAAAGAATAGAAGGAGAAACACAACTAACAGGATGGCCAGAAGAGGCAGCAGAAGGAGACAGCGAAAAAGATAAAAGTGCTGATGAGCAGCAGACTGAGATGCAGCTCTGTCTGCAGCAGCAACAGCCGCATCCAGGTGTATGTACACCTCACACCCAGCAAGATCATTCTCTCGCAGAAGACCAGCAGCAGCTGCAGCAGCAGCAGCAGCAGCAGCAGCAGCAGCAAAAGCAGC